ATATCAGGCAGGAGGTACACTATCATGACACCTGTGCAACCATTTATATGGAAAGTGCTATGGATGTGCCAAATAGTGCTTAAATATAATAATGTGTTCTGTACAGTTTTATTAAGTGCAAAACCAAATTGGGTTTAAATCAAATTTGCAATGAAAACCTGGCTTTACTTCCTAATCGCTGTCCCACTAAGACACAAAGCATTGTTTCAGTCAGGGCTGTATGTTTTGTCATAGCCTCAACTCTTTTAGCACCATCTGTTGTGGGTCTAAATAAGGGAGGCAGAGTCCTGTGCACTTAATCCAGTTTCTCTCCTGCCAACTCAGAAAAAGAGAAAGTGATGGAACTGTCTCTCCCCCCCCACCCCCCCACCCCCCCATCCCAAAAAACAGCATTTTATTTTTCCACAAAATGTAAAGGTTTTTTTGTGAAATACTGAACACTGGAGTACATTGATTCAGAATAATATTACCGTGCTTCATGGGAGCTGTTGTTAGGGTGTTTTATCTACTCATGGCCCAGCCTTTCCCAAAATGTACTGCTGTCTCCCTGAAGGCTGGATAGCATAAGACAACCTCTTGGTAATGTGTTACAGGACATAGAAATATTTAGATGAAGTCTGATAATTTTCCATGGAATGCAGTCCCTTTTTATAGGAAAAAAATATTTAGTTCAAACTCAATTGTCATTGAAGTGCAACTTAACTCTGTTCCTGCTTCTCTTGCCCCTTCCTCATAAGGGATTAGTAGCTTCTGGTTTGCTGCTTTTCTGAGGTTTCTCTCTTTTCCTGTGGGGGTGCAACCACGTCCTTGACCCTAATCAGCCTTTGCAAATGTACTGCCCTCCCTAGGTAAGCAAATGTGAGTTTTACACTTTTGTTACTCTTCCTCTGTTGTTCTCCTCTATTCAAGGGTAGTAGGAAATAAATGGTTTGAACTTACGATTATCTCTTCCTTTGCCATCCATCCTTTCCAGCTGAACTCTGACATTTGTAGTAGCTGTGAGTATTTCCCTGCTGTGCCACAATATTTTTATTGTAAATCCTATCACTGACTTAGAACTGGAATCCAATGTTGATTTTATTCTCTATTATTTCAGAAATCTCAAGCCGGGAAATAAGAGCTGGGTGGGAATTTTCTTATAAAAAAAATGTTTTCCTCCCTCCCAATTTGGAAAAATCTGATTCATCAAAACTAAGATTTGTTATGGGAATGTACCGGTTTTGACTGAACTTCTGTTGGGGCATTTCCCCCCCCAAAAATGAGACACCTGAGAGAAACCACTGGTTGGGTGGTTAGGACACCCACTAGGGCTGTGGGAGGACCACGTTCCAAGTCCCTGCCCCACTGGATCAGGCCTTGAAGCTGGCTCTTGAGCCCTCTGGTCTTTTGGCTATTTGAGGTGGAATAGATAGGGTTCTTCTTCTTAAGTCTTTTCTTGGGGTGCGGGTGGCAGTTTTATTTGTTTTACCCTGATGTCATGTAGGAAAAATTGAAATCTCATCAATGTTTGCAGAATAGGAAAACCATTCCTTTTTCCAAGCCTCTGCAGAATAAATATATTATGTCAGGAGTGGGCAACCAACAGCACATGTGCCACAAGTAGCACAGGCAGCCTCTATGTGTGGCACACAGCAGACTGAGTAAGGGACAGGCAGCACGGTGGCAGATAGGCCAGGGAGCTGAAAATAGAGCAGCAGATTGGGCAGGGTGGGAGGAAACAGAAAACAAAGCAGTAGATCAGGCAGGGAGTACAGGGCACAGGGCAGGGAGCAGAAAGCAGAACAGCTGATCAGGCAGGGAAAGGGGCTTGGAGGTCAAAAAGGTTGTCTACCACTGTATTATGGGAACCAGGTGAAAAATACATTCCTCCCTCCTCCAAGATCTTAGTTCCTCCATTGTTTTAGAACATGTTTCGTAGAAGTCCTATAGTCTGCACAATTGACATAGAGGAAGATATTATCTGACTTTATATTCATTTGCCCTCAAGCAGAGCTTAGTATTTAAGGAAGGGCTGTTCCTCCACTAATCTGTAATACAAACAGCATTGCCCAGTGAAGAAGACACTTACTTGGGAGAAAGAAAACATAGCTTCAGCTTCTAGCCTCTGTTGCATGGTAGATGGCAGATCACCAGGGATCTGGGTTTTCCATTTCCCATGGAAAAATGGAGACGAACGTGGATTTACCCTGTTACCTAAGAAAAATGTGTATTTTTCATTTTAATGGAAAAACTTGTGGATTTTGCAGTTTTGCAAAGATCTCTCTGCAAGCTAGAAGAAAGAGTTCCAGCCTGCAAGGGGCTGGGGGGAGCAGGAGGAGGGTGGTCAGGCAGGAGCTCCATGTACATGTATAAAAATATCAGATAGCCTCCAGGCAGCCTGGAGAGCAGCTCCTGCAGGTAAGCTTGGGGATGGGAATTGAGGCCCCCATAGGGAGGGAGGGAATGAGTTGGGCAGGGCTGGGGCTGGGGCTGGGACTGCTGCCCAGCCAGGCAGTGTGTGGAGCTTCGGGCCCAGGGCTGCAATGCACGGCCACAGGGCACGGGCGGGAAGTGGGACAGGGCTGTGGGCGGCTTGTCCGGGGAGGCAGGGGAGGGGGGCCTAGCTCCCTGCCTCTGCATGCATTCCCGGGGGAGCAGGGGGGGACTGTGCTGCCCCGGCAAGGTATTCCCTGGCCATGAGGCAGCAGTGGGGGCAGCGGTGCAGGGTTGTGCCTGTTGCTGCCTCTGCGCAGGCAGGGGATGCCTTGCCAGGGCAGCGCGGAGCCCATAGTGGCAAGGAGCTTCCCCATGCAGCCCCACTTTGCCCTGCAGCACCGGGTCACACCCACCGGACAGTGGAGGCCCCGGGGGAGGGCAGCAGGGCAGGGAGTCCAGGCCAACAGCAGGCAGCCTGCGGCCACCCCACACACAAATCTGGGGGGCACGGGTCCCCCCTGCCCCTCCAGGAGTGTGCGCAGCAGTGGGGAGCTGCCCTCCCCCCACCAAAGCCTGCAGCGAACAGGCAGCAGGTGGGGAGGTGGGCTCCACGCTCCACTCCGCGGCAGCAGCTGCTGCCTCCTGCGGGCAGCAACCGGGGCTTGGGCATTGCTGCAGGGGGCAGGGGGCAGACCCAGGTCCCTGGCCCCATAGCCCTGGCCCATAGCTGGGGGTCCCCTTTGGTGGAGCGGGGGCGGGGCAGGAGGCTGCGGAGGGGAGTGAGGCACGTCAGCAGGGCCAGGGGGCTGTGGGTCAGGAGTGAGGGGCACCAGCAGGGCTGCGGGGCTATGGCTTGGGAGTGAGGGGCCTAGACCTGTGTTCTGCGAGCTAAGGGGGTAGTGGAGCTCTGATTTTCCATGATAAAAAACCTAAAATTAAATACCAAAATGTATAGGAATTTAGAATTTATTTTATTATAGTGATTGAGGCACTGGTAAGCTTCCACATTGTTTTAAAATTGTAAATATATCAAGAAAACATTGTGTTCAGCTGACACCTATATGTATATAATGGCCTTTCATTTTAATCTTGGATTTTGGGGGGTTTTATCAGAGAATTTCTGAATTTTTATCGGTAAATTTGTGATTTTTTTATCAGGGAAAACCAGGATCCCTGCAGATCACATAACCTCTTTGTACCTCAGTTTTCCTCTTAGCTATACCCTCAGTAGCTATTTATTTCTGGGTAATCCTTTGTGATCTCTGGATGAAACCTGCTACATAATAGCTACAGAGCTTTAACTGATATATAAGTGAGGCAGTGGTATTTTTGCAAGTCTTTTTTTCTTGCTTATTTAAAAGGAGATGATTCAGCAACACTCTAATTTCTTACTTTGTATTTCTAGCTGTTCATTAAGGTCTAAATCAATTGATTTGTAATTGGTAAAACTGGTAAAATTTTCACAGGGGTTTAAACTCTTCAGGCATTTCTGAACATGTTTTCCTATTTCCAGCTGTATAATCTGGCATCAAGATAGCATCAATTCTCAGCTGATCAAAGACTAAGATTTTCTCCCTGTGTTTTGGTACACATGCCCCATTACAGTTCAAAAGGCAGAGTCCAAGGGTAACATATTGTTAAACATCTGGAACTCCAGCTCTGCTATACAAGTGAATTAAATAAGTTGAGATGTCCATATGCAAAGGACAAGAATTGTCCTGTCAGAGTGGAGAGATGGTCTATGTAGTGCGGGGATCCTATATTCAACTATGACCAGTGTCTCAGTTACTTCAAAGGAATGTGCCAAACCTATACCCCTGTGGGGAACTCACTTGAGGGAACTCCCTTATTATGGCTACTGTTCTCATTTGTACATCTTCACCTTTTGAGTTTCAAAGGGTTGTTGGTTGTAGCTGTGTTGGTCTAAGGACATAGGCAGGCAAGGTTCCTTGGGTAGATGGGATATAGTTTCATAGATGTTAGGGGCTAGAAGGGACCTCACAGATCATCAGGTCCAGCCCCCCTGCACTAGGACAGGGAAGATCAGGTGACCCCAGCAAGGTAGGCGTCAAGACGCTTTTTGAAGATCACCAGGGTGGGTACCTGTATCACTTCTGTGGGGAGCCTTTTCCAAACCCTCGGCACTCAACTTGTAAAGAAGTTTTCCTTATGTCTAACCTGAAGCGATATTCAATCAGTTTGTGCCCATTATACCTTGTCCTCCCCTGATGATAGATGCTCCCCCAGGCCCTGATATCTTTTATATTAGATCAACTGTCTAGCTGGAAAAAAGTTCTTTGCAAGGTCTAATAAAAGGTATCACATCTACCCAAAGAACCTTGCCTGCCTTTTAGTTTCAAATGTACTTAGCTTCATGCAGAATCACCTTTAGCTGATACTTTCCTTTTAATTCTGAAGCTGATTCAGTGTCATAAAAGATATTTTCACAGGTCCTTCATACAGTATATTAGCAAAAACAGGTTTCTCTGGAATTTGCTCTGAAGAGGGGTCACTATTGCTGCTTTTGGACTGAGTGCAGACTATATTTCCTGCTGTTTCAATGTGCCTTGGCCTTTTCTCCCTAGGGGATGGCCTTTACACTTGAAGAGAGGCTACAGCTTGGGATTCATGGTCTGCTTCCTCCCTGCTTCTTGAGCCAAGATGTTCAAGTTCTCCGTGTCATGAAAACCTATGAGACCAAATCCAGTGATCTAGATAAGTATGTCCACAAGTATTTATTTGTTTGTTCTCTCTCTCTTTTTTTTTTGACTGTGGAGATGTGAGAATCCTTCTGTTTTAAACTATACATGTGCAGGGCCAATCCTTCAGGATCACTCTTCCTCTAGCCATGACCAAGAATATTAGCCAACCCTTTGCCATCAGTGCCTCTCCTATCCTGTCCATTGTCTTGCCCATTCCACTCCATGTCTCCCAAGGCGCTGGTGGTATTGTTTGTAAGAGCCTTCAGTATAGACCAGGATCTTATTGTGCAAGGTGCCTGTGCAAATGCAGAACAGAAAGATGGTAATTGCCTTGCTAAGCTGGGATATGGCATTATGCACAACATGCTCACTTATGGAGTGGATGTGCTCCACCACATGTACCCATCAGTGTATTGAGTGGAGTGCCTAATGGCAGAGCAAAAAGAACCTGCCAAATAATAGACATTTTTTAAAATCATATGGAGTAGTGAGAGAGTGTTTTCAGCCCATCATCCCCTTTAATACTGTTCATAAGCGTGATGGCAGGGAGAAATGTTAAATGTGTCTTTTCCCCGGTGTTTGAGTGTTTTGCTTCTCCATTGCTATCAACTGTGGCTGGCCTAAGGGCTAAAAAAACATGCTCTGTTTTCCCAAATCACAGTAGTTTTCCCTCATAGTCTGAGGTGTCCCTTTTGTTGTACATAGCATGCAGCAGACTGGTGTGCATCTGTGAAACACAGTACTTTTATCCACAAGATACCTGATGCAGAACTGAGTCCTGAGCACATTGCAGCATATATCATTAAGCTTACACATATTTCTGGCATAAGAGAGTCATTTTTAGTTTAGTCTTCTACCTCAGTCCATCATTTTTTCTGCTTGAAATTTGACAAATTCATTCTTAGTCAAGGAAACAATTTCAAGAAAAAAGGGAAATACATTTTTATCATTTTAAAAATGCCTTCCGTTAACTCTAATATCAGAAAATTCTATATCGTATGAAAAATGGCACTTCTTTTTTGTCTATAATATGTCATTATTTTTAGCACCAGCCCTGAAGACTAACAAATTCTTTCAGACTTTTCCTAAAGGGGTTGGTGGATTTGGAGTGATGGATGGGAAACTGGGGTATTGGGTGGGAAAAGTCATTTATGGATAGATTGGTAATCTTGAGGGTAGATTAGAACATTTCAAGAAAATGATCAATTGAAATGTGCACATTTCCATAAAATATGAATAGCTCATAGATCAGCTGATATATTTAAATACATTGTCTTTGACCCTCACCCATGCCATCAACACTGTAGTTTTCTCCATCTTATTAGAGTTGTTTCTGTTGTAATTGTATAAAACCCTGAAGATACTGCCTGATTCCAAATGTGTTGGGCACATGTAGCTATCATTAAAAACAATAGTATTGTGGATATTCAAGACCTCTAGAAAATCCTACATGGAACTTCTCATCCAAAATCTGTCTGGGTACACTATGGCACTATGCACTGGGCCTGAGTGTCGTATGGCATATGCACATGGGAGAAGGTATGAATCTAAATACCATTAGCCTCATGAATTGTGCACAGTTTGGGTGGAATTAACAAAACTTGGGTATACTGACATGTCCATTTCCTTTCTTTTTTAATTCTTCCTTTTAAGATACATTGTCCTTATGACACTACAAGACAGAAACGAGAAGCTTTTTTACCGAGTTCTGACATCAGACATTGAGAGATTCATGCCCATAGTTTATACTCCGACAGTTGGCCTGGCCTGTCAGCAGTATGGCCTGGCTTTCAGAAGACCACGGTGAGTGGACTGAATATTTTTTCACTGTCTTGAATTGGATTTGAATGTTGTTTTTATGCAGCATGAACTTTTCTGTGGGTGGCCTAGAAAAAGTCAAATTTGATCCTGGATCAAAATATGGGCTATCGAGTAGCTGATTACATGATTGCTGCTCTTTGTGACAGCAGGCCCGTGGACTTGTTACTCTGCCTGCCGATATCTCAAATACATGGTGAGAGTAGGTGAGTAGCTGAGTGGGCTCAGCTCCCTGTTCCCAACTCCTGACTAGCTTTGCAGAAAAGGAGGTGAAGGACTCCTCCGCTGGTGCAGCATGGGTGGCACAGATCGCTTCCCCGTCTCCTCCCAGATGCACAGGGGCAGCAGGGAAGGACCTGCAGTGTGGCTTATAGATTCATAGATTCATAAATGTTAGGGTCGGAAGGGACCTCAATAGATCATCGAGTCCGACCCCCTGCATAGGCAGGAAAGAGT